GGAAAAAGAGATGCGACACCACATAATTACTCACTCCAGTCTCCTGGGGCGCAGAGGTGGCTGTGAGAGAACTCTCTTAAGAGTAATCATTATGGTTTAGGAGATGTTGTAAAATCCAACCGTTTCTTTCCAGCACGATGTTTGAGGAGCTAAGATCCTACTCGCAGCTTTACTCCTTTTATCTGTTACTACGCAGCACTTGGCGTAAAAAAAAAATTAAGGGGGGAGGGAAGGAATCCACCACATTTTCCCTGTTATCTTGCCCCCCCCCAGGAAAGATTCAAGCTTCTACAAAATCCTTAACGCATCCGTTTTCCAAAGAATTAATTACTGGAGGTGGGGTGGAGGTGGGCAGGTGTCAGCATTTACTGAGCTTGCCTCGCTGTTCTGTGCATCCAGACGATCAAGGAGTACGCCTATATCCCGCTTTCTCGGGGAGCCGAAGAGCGAGGGAAATGCGGCAGCAACGAATCCGAGCTCCACCTGACGTGGATGGACAAAGCCTACACCCTCCGCCTTTACTTCGTGAAGGTAAAGGATGCAGATCGCAGGGGTTATTTCGGGTGACTGAATAAAAGGGCAAGGGAAGGAAGAGGGAGAACGAGCGAGAGAATAGTAAGCAAGAATAGAGGGAAGAAAAGAAAAGCCACGATCCTGACCCGGCTGCCATTGTCTTTACCGCGCCAGTGTATTTATATACAGTAGTGCCTTTCGGCCGAGGAAGGAAGACAAGCGCTCTGCTCTCGTTTGGTTTTTATCCTGGTCAATTTCCCTTTCTTTTTCATGTCAGTTTCAGACCCGAGAAGGGCTGGCAAAGTTGAAGGGCGGCCGCAGAAATCTTTAAGCCCAGTCTAAACTCTTGCCTGGCCGGATTGCAAGGGCCAGGAGAGGCTTCCTTGTTACATTTTAGGCATCCTTACTTCGTGTGGATCATTTGTCTTTTCTCTCCCCACACGCCTCCTTCTTCTCCCCCCACCTCCCACTGCCTCCTGTTCCCATCCCGGCCCACGAACTGGTAGGAGAGCCGCAACACGAGCCGAGGGCCCGAGGCCTGGTGGAAGATGAACAAAGTCCAGTTTTCTTACGACACCTCGGAAGGCACCTACTTCAAAGGGCCCGTCAACCGTAAGTGCCTCTGCGCTCCCTCGCACTGGAGGCCCGCAAAGGGCCGCCGCAGGGGGGCTTTGCGGGGGGGGAGGCGGCTGGACTGCAGAGTTAAGAGGAGAACACGATCCCGGTGGCCTCCTTTAGCCTAAGGAGCTGGCAGGAACCTGGAGGAAAGGGAAGGCAGGAAGGGGGCTCCCCGTGGGTAACATAAAGCTGAATAAAACGCCACGCAATCGAAGCGCGATTTTGCCCTGGTGAATCAACCAACCTTTGAAGCTTCCCCTTCAACTGCGGTCCTATAAATCATCATCTGCCCGCCCTGCTGCCTTCTGAATTTTCAGGGAGAGGGTGGGAGCCTCTCGTCTTTGCCCCCGTCCCTTCCCCCGAGGTCTCTCCCCGCCCCAACCCTCCAGACCCGCACTGCGGATAAACTCGCCTGCCCGCATTTCCCCGCTTCTCTCTCGGGATCCTCCTCAACCACCTTCCTTCGGGGGTTCACCCGGGGTCCCGCCGCCCGCGTCGTCGATCAGGGTGATTTAGGGTCCTGATCCACCCCCCCACACCCCTCCTTGTGCCGGCGTGCGCTCCTCCCAGCACTGCGCCAGGCCTCAAGAGGGCCTTTTCAGCCTTGGCGTCTTCCAGACAGCAAAGGGCCCCGTGGAAGAAATCCAGTGGTGCTTTTGCCATCTCCTTCCGAGGGCTGGAACGGGACCAACCTTTTAAAAAGGTCACACACACACAGACACAGAGACCCCACCGACCGTGGCAAGCCTTCGAGCACCTTAGACTCTGAGACCGTTTCTGTCCCGTTGGTTAGCTAGGAGCCTCCAGAAAATGGAGAGCTAACATGCCACTCCTAAACAATTTAGGAGGGAAGGGGGCTGAAACCTTCCATCCTAGCTTATCAGGGAGTAAACAAACGCCAAGGGAACCGAGCTGAGCCCGTTTTTCAGGACACCGGCTGAGGAATGGATTGCGGGTCCCGTATCTTCAGCGTAGGCCTGCCTGGAATGTTTCTTTTAAAAAAAACGGAGCCGTTCACGAATTGCACTAGCGTATTTAGCAAGAATGAATGAACGGAAACGTTCCCTTCTTATCTGAAGGAAAGGTCACTTCTCTTTTCTACTTACTGTCACAGGAAAGTGGAAAGACAACGCATCGATCTAAACATAAAAATAAAAAATAAATAAACGTGCCCAATTTAACTGACAGATTCACGGGCTAAAATTAGTGCCCGCTGAGAAGGATTATTTAACGAAAGCTGTACTTTTGGAGTCGTGTCCTGTGTTAAAATGGATACAAATCATGCAGGTCTCGTTTGTTATAAATTGATTTATTATAAATTAATGTCGACTTTCACTGTCTCAGGTTTGTGTCCTTCCGAGCACTTTTGATTTCAGAGGTTTAGGCTCCTAAATCTATACAAGTCTTCTGACCATTGAAATGGGACTAATGAAGCTATTGTTTCAATTTTTGTGGTTTTCTTTGCTTAGATGTTTGAAGCTGATACACCTAATAATTTTAAAAATATATGTGTTTTTAAAGTGATTTGGGAAAATCGGTTTCCCCTTCTTTGAAAAGGTTGATTGTGAGACAGTAGAAATAAAAGATTGAATCCAAATGAAAATAAATAATAGTCATAATCACTGTAAGAAATGCTATTTTTATACTTCTATAGAGTAGCTTCCATTAAAATTTACAATGGAAATTATTACATTTATCTTTGTGCAATTGAATCTCATCGGCCCCCTTAGGAAAAAAGATCTTGTTGTCTTTGTTTTTTTTACTGTATATCTGCAGTGCAGCCTGTTTTGGGAGAGATAGTCTGTGATTTTTGCTGTTACACTGCAGCATGCAATAAGCATAACCCATGTTTGTACATTTGGCTTCTTCTGAAAGTGACTTCTAACCTTTATATCTTTTAAGCCTAAATTTCACCTTCCCCTATTCTAGTATCACTTTGGAGAAAATTATTTTTATATTAAAATGAAGGAAAATTAATGATAAATTTTTTGGAATGGTGTGAAATGCAGGAGCCCACTGGGCTTTTAGTTCCATTGGATTTTCCATCCCTTAGCTTGGCTGGATCTGCTACTCTCCCCCTTTTCCATACATGACGCTCACAAGATTATTAAATCTTTCTTGCAAATCTATAAGAGTTCCTAAGGAGTAAGTACCAATAGGTTCAGTGGAAATCCCTCGCATGATAATAAACCACCTGACTTTTTAAAAGGCAGTGTTACCCATTTTTCTTTAATATTTGAATAATCTACTGTTTTTAGTTTTTAATGACACAAGCTACCGTGGGTCCTTTTTAAGAAGAAAGATGTTGCGAAACAAACAAACAAACAAACAAACAAACAAACAAACAAACAAACAAACAAATAAATAAATAAATAAATAAATAAATAAATAAATAAAAAGTCATTCGCTATAAGAATGCTATTCAATGGGGCAACCTCAATGGCCATCTTGACTGGGAATGATGGGAACTGTAGACCATCTCATCTGGAAGATACCAAGTTAAAAAAAGCATGCCCTTAGATGCCACTTCTCTCTTTCTGAATTCCAGAGATTTCATTCCTGTTCTCTTCAGAATGCCAGGCACTTTTGGGGGCTATCATCTTACTGCTACTATTACCATTACTGTGAGCAGTATCATTCAGATTCTGCCAACATTGGCCTTCTTTAAATGAAGAACCAAGGCAGGCCTACATACCCTTTATGTTTCATATTGTATGCTTTCACCCTGCCCCTAAATTGAATTATGTACAGCTTTGAGGCAAGGTGCTCTGGAAGTTTACTGTGAGAGTGTCCTTGGTCTCTTGTTTTGTCTGGGTGTGCAGTTCCCAAGTTCCAGCCCTTTCTCAGCTGGGAAGCTGCCAGGGTGACCTTAAGGGAGTCATGTATCTTCTGCAGCCTAACCTATTTAATTTGAGGCAGAGGTGGAGAAAGTGGCTTTTTCGGCATACATATTACAGAATCCCACAGCCATCCTCTACCACAAATCCTACAGCCACTGTCCAGCCATGTTCCCAAAGAACGAAAGCTGTAGAACCACAGTTCTAAGTGTTGCAATTCTCTCTGGGAATATATCTTGAGGTGATGGAGGAACCTAAGCACTTACAAGGGAGCAACATGTAAGAACACATGTGGCTTATCGCTGTCTTGGAGACGTTTCTGTCTTTCCACCAAAGACAGAAATGCAGGAGATTCCTTCATGGCACCAAAATGTAGACCAGCTTTCCCCACCCTTTTGCTCTCCAGATGCATTGGCCATGCTGCCTGGGCATCAGGATGGAAAAAGCTGGTGTATAGAGGATATTATGTTTTTGCAAGTCATTGGAGTACATACTCTTAACTACTGTTGCACACTGCCAGACGACTAAAGAAAAGCTGAAAATATGCTGGTCTTCTCACCTTCACTCCGAAAATAATCAGCAACTTGATACAATCAATAAATGGAACTGGCAAAAAAGAATGTTTGGGCTCCAATTCGAATTTGACTAAAGACTCAGCAGCTAAATGCTGCTTCCGATGTCTGCATAGCTCTGTGGCAAGTTCACACAAGGGATAGTCCCCACTCTGTGTATTGACTGAATCCTACAGTGAGCCCTGCCCTCACTCTCTAGAGACACCCATGGACCATAGCAGAAGACTGTGTTCTTTCTATCCCTTTCTTGACATCCATCATCCCCCTTCCCAGAGTCTCCTTGTGCATTTTCCCTCAGTGAAGGATTGCAAGCTTGGGCTGGGTGAGGCTCTGCTTTGACCTATGGCAGGGATGAGAAAGGTATTGTTGGACTGCAATCCTTATGATCCTGCACAGCTGTTTATACTAGCCTATTTTATTTATTTATTTATTTATTTATTTATTTATTTATTTATTTATTTATTTATTTATAATTTATCCCCCGCCTATCTGCTCAGAACGTGCACTCTAAGTGGCTTCCAAGCATATAAAACACGATTAAAAATACATATAACAAACCAGTATATTATAAACCATCGCAATAAACAGCCAACAATAAACGCTAAGCATATTTTTCAAGATGCCTATGGCATCCTCGGCCCACTGCAGGGCTGAAGGGAGCAACACATATTTTATTTCTACTTTTCATTAAATATTTACCTCACCCTTGCACACAAGGGCTGGAGGAGGCTACAGAAAAATGTACCCCAAGTGGTGCGTTGCTTATCGCCTGCTTGTTGAAAGTTGTCTCCAAGTCTAAACCTTTGGTAGCAATACTATCAGCATCCAAGAGAATGGGGATCAGGGTGGGAGGGGAGTCCTCCTGCTGGCCTGCCTGCCTTCTCCTCCTCCTCCTCCTCCTCCTCTTCCTGACTGCAGCAGCATCTCCACCTGGGCCATGATGTTGAGTTCTGCAATGCTTGCATAATATTGTTAGCACATACTGGGTGAATTAAGTTTGGTTGGGTGAGATTAATTAAGGCAGCATTCTTATATACCCAGGGTAGGCAACATCTACAGGGGCAATTTTCCAGCCCTGGATCCACCATGGAAGGGTGCATGGCAGCTTTCCTAAGGACAGAAATTAAGAAAGATCAAAACTGGATATTACTGGAAGTCCACTTCTTTTTTAATGTTATGCACTTGGGTTTGGGGAGATGGGAACACCCCCTATAATTGTAAAAATCCCACCCCCAAAGGCTTCCAAGAGCAGAAAGAGACTTGTTTTGTATATTCTGTTCTTGTTTTTCTTCTTCCACCCACCCCTACTATTACCTTGCTTGTTCCTTGCCCTTGCTTATAAAAGCTGCCAGTGGGGCTGTGGTGTGTTGGGTCGTGAATATTGTGATCACTGAGGGAGGGATTTCTTCCCCCTCACATGTAAAAGAAACCATCATCCAACCCATTATTAGACACTCACAGTTGGTGACAGATAATCTTAATAATTTTTGACCAATCACCAGCATACCTTTTATGAGCAAGGGGATCGAGTGGGTGGTGGCTAAGCAGCACCAGATATACTTGGAGGAGGAGAATTGTCTTGATCCCTTCCAATCCAGATTTGGGCTGCGGCACAACATTGGGACAGCAGTGGCCACACGGCACAGTGACCTTTTCAGGGAGGCTTAAGGGAGGTCAACAGGGGAGGATGTACTCTGCTGGTTCTCCTTGGTCTTTCAGCAGCTGTCAATGCCATCAACCACAGTATCCTCCTGGACACGCTGCCAGAGATTGGGATGGGGGGGGGGCTGGCACTGAGCTGGCTCTGATTCTTCCTCAAGGACTGTGTCCAGAGAGTCCAGCTTGAGGATGATGAGGGCCCAGTCCCCTGGGGCTGGACCATCCACTCACCTTCTGATGCTGCCTCAGGCTCTGTGCTCCGTTCCTATTGCTCTGGAGCTTGCGGTCGGCTAGCCACTCCTCGCAGGAGGCAGGATGATGAGCCTCCTTGCCAGGTCAAAGATTGGGTTGCAGACTGGGCACTCTGGAGTGATTGGGAGGGAGAGCGGAGCCTACGGTGGCAGCGGAAGGGTGAGTGGACAGTGACTGGACCCTTGTTATCTCCACCCATGTATCCATATACAAATACCCCCATCTCTTGTACAGTGTCATAAGTAGGCTGATGATGCACAACTCTAGCTCTCCTTCACCACCTCTGCAGTGGATGCTGTCTGGATGCTCAAACAATGCCTTCACTGAGGGAGGGATTTCTTCCCCCTCACATGTAAAAGAAACCATCATCCAACCCATTATTAGACACTCACAGTTGGTGACAGATAATCTTAATAATTTTTGACCAATCACCAGCATACCTTTTATGAGCAAGGGGATCGAGTGGGTGGTGGCTAAGCAGCACCAGATATACTTGGAGGAGGAGAATTGTCTTGATCCCTTCCAATCCAGATTTGGGCTGCGGCACAACATTGGGACAGCAGTGGCCACACGGCACAGTGACCTTTTCAGGGAGGCTTAAGGGAGGTCAACAGGGGAGGATGTACTCTGCTGGTTCTCCTTGGTCTTTCAGCAGCTGTCAATGCCATCAACCACAGTATCCTCCTGGACACGCTCTCAGAGATTGGGATGGGGGGGGCTGGCACTGAGCTGTCTCTGATTCTTCCTCAAGGACTGTGTCCAGAGAGTCCAGCTTGAGGATGATGAGGGCCCAGTCCCCTGGGGCTGGACCATCCACTCACCTTCTGATGCTGCCTCAGGCTCTGTGCTCCGTTCCTATTGCTCTGGAGCTTGCGGTCGGCTAGCCACTCCTCGCAGGAGGTGGTACGATGAGCCTCCTTGCCAGGTCAAAGAGTGGGTCGCAGACTGGGCACTCTGGAGTGATAGGAAGGGAGAGCGGAGCCTGCAGCAGCAGCAGAAGGGTGAATGGACAGTGAGTGGACCCTTGTTATCTCCACCCATGTGTGGGTATTCGTATCCATATACAAATGCCCCCATCTCTTGTAAAGTGTCGTAAGTAGGCTGATGATGCACAACTCTAGCTCTCCTTCACCACCTCTGCAGTGGATGCTGTCTGGATGCTCAAACAATGCCTTGCTTTGGTTTTGGACCGGGCCCAAAAAGGCTCAAACTGAACCTGGAGAAGACAGAGAGGGCTGAACTTAGACCAGTTTTGCATTTGGGTTTTGTATTTGAGTAAAACATATGTGCAAGTGTAATGTAAAACAACCCAATGATTTGCCTTCTCAAAGATCGGGGAAAAATGTATGTAGCTCTTGGGCTCTCGGCATGGTACTCATCCACGGCCTTTTCTACCCTTTTGGCAGCTGGAAGGCACACTGTCACGACGCATCACCTTTCAGTTTTAGTCACCCCAGCTGGGAAGTCTTATGAATGTCAAGCTCAGCAGACCATCACCTTGCCCTCCAGTGACCATCAAAAATCGGTAGAACTCTTGCTGTCAGAGGTCCGCCTCCAGCCCTTTGACATCACCTCTGACTTTGTCTTTAGTGAAGGTAAGGTTCTTTGGGATGCTTGGAAGAGTTGTGTGGGGGGGTCACTATCTGGAAGGGGAAGGCTGCTGCTCTTGGGATGGAGAAGGGGGACCATCTAGTTTTTCAAGCAAGTGTTCTGACAATGGTTCACAGCCCAGACAAAGTCCAGATGACACCCTCTCTCCAGCCAGGAGGAAGCCAGTTCTCCCCATTCCATTCTATTCTTGTTCTGTGGCTTCACCTTCCACTTCTCCACTTTCCTGGTTTAACCTGTTGGATTCCTCAAAGACATTTGGAGTGTTGGGACATGGCTAGTCTCTCACAGTTTTCAAATGATGGTCCTTTTTTATAGTTACATGTTGCTGATACACGCATCTGAAACCTTTGCACAACAAAGAATCTTCTTGTGACTGTCAAGTGTCCCCCTCCCCCTCATATTTTTGGCACTGCAGTTGAAACTGTGCACAGGTGGGACGATGCCTGTGGGTGGTCTCCGACAAGATACATCACAAAGCTGAAAACCTGAGCACCTTTGCCCAGGGTTCTGGCTCAGAAGGTCTGGAATGCACAAATATGGTCAGAGTATTGTCCCATCAGGAGAAAGCTGCGACGGATCCAGCTGCTAAACAAGTTGGAGGTGACAGCGCATTGGTGGATCAGTGACTGGGGATTTGTACTGTGCCACCTGTGCTTATTGTAGTAATCTGCTTAGAGTAGGAATCATCAATCATTTAGAAAGCAACTAAACAATATAACCAACCAAAGAAATGAATAAGAGTATGTTAATCAATGTCTGGCAATGGCCCCAAACCCTTCTCAGATGAATCCTTCTTGATCTACCTAATTGTCTCCCTGAGCATGGAAAAGTTACTTTCTTAGACTACAGTTCCTCCAGTTAGCAGGGCCACTAGCCATACTGGTTGGTGGATCCTGAGAATTGTAGTTATTTTTTAGGTTCTGTTCTGTTTCTGCAGCAAGTAAGGAAGCAAATTAACACTAGAGAAAGACACTGGTATTCCTGCTGTTCTACCAAGGCTAAGGGTGGGGGGAGAAGGACTTCTCTCTGTTTCACATATCGGATGGTCTGATTGATCAGTAGCTGTCTGGGAATGGATGTCTTTTCTTGGCCACAATGAGGGCCAGATCACAAGATGAGGCAAGTATGTTATGTCCCCCTCTTGTAATGTTATCCTTTTAGGCATGCAAATCTAGTGTTACTTGACATAGTGGATGCGTAAATAAAGGTGTATTATCCTCCAGCTGACCTGGCATGCAAATCTTCTAGTGTTACTTGACATAGTGGATGCGGAAATAAAGGTGTATTATCCTCCAGCTGACCAATTACAAAACAGATTGATTTACCAAATGTCTGTTGAGGCAAGATTGTGTCTGAAGAAGTCATCTTCCCCTCTGAAGGGGGCTTTGCTTTGAAAGACAAAATTAGCACTTCATTTAGCGAAATGCCAGTAATTTGAACTTTATGTTAAATGTAGGCCTTCCCTCTTTAGAATACTTAAGGGGCTGCCAGCTCACATCACATGTGGTATTTCTGCCTTTGCCTGGAGAATAGAGACAATTGTGATGTGAGCCCCTCAGCTCAGTGGATGCTACTGTGTCAAACTCCAAAGGAGACAATGTGTAATCCTGCTTTCATTTCCTAAAGGAGAGGGCTATATGCTTCTCTACCCCCATGTCAGTGAACCCACAGCATTTTGCTGTACAAGGAACATAACAGCTTCTCACAATGAGTTATAAACCACTTATTTTGATGAAGCAGGCCTGACTTGAGCGCCAGCTGCTTTCTCTGCATCAGTGCTTGCTTTGTGTGTATGAGGGCCAGGGCAGGGCAGCTTGCTAAGAAAGAGCAGAGGAATTGCACAATTCCAGCTTCAAATTTGCAAGATGGCAAATTGTGGTGATAAGGCAGCACTCGTACCTCTCCTATGATGAAAGCAGCATGTTTGCCGGGGACTAATTGTGTTCACTGATGATGTTGATGGTGTGTGATGAAGACAAGGTTATTTGTGTTTGAATGTTGCTTCCCTGGGATGGGACCTTGTTATGGTCGGATATTCCCACTGATGAGTGATGGGCAGTTTTTGATTGTGATTAACATGTAATGGCAAATATATCTTGAAGGGAGATGTGAGAGGGTGAGGAGTGTGGGTATGTGTACGCATGCACACATGTACTCTTGCATGTGTGAGTGCATGCATGGGGGAAGAGAAAGAGAGACTGAGAGAGAGATGAAGTTGGAGCGTGGGAATAGCTGGGAGTAGGTGGGTGGTTGTATATAGGACATTTACAAAGAACGGCAGAAAATTAAATCCATTCTTTGTGTCTCCCCAATTCCTCTAGAAGCAGAACTGAAAAACAGCTGTTGCCATTTGGAAATCTTTTTGAGTCAGCCTCCAAATAGTAAGAAATGTTGCAAGGAATTTTTGGGAGTTGAAAGATGATCATAGCAATTCCCCAAATATAAAAGCAAAAGTATGATCTTGCGAGTGATTCATCAGATGCAGTCCCTGTGCCCTGATCTCATCTGTTGGATTTATTCACCATTCTAAAATGTGGTGGCACTGCGGGTTAAACTGCAGAAGCCTCTGTGCTGCAAGGTCAGAAGACCAGCAGTCGTAAGATTGAATCCACACGACGGAGTGAGCTCCCGTTGCTTCTCCTGCCAGCCTAGCAGTTTGAAAGCATGTAAAGGCAAATAGATAAAGAGGAACCACTGTGAGGTTCCGATGAGGTTCACAGTGAGAAGGTAACGGCCCTCCGTGTCTAGTCGCACTGGCCATGTGACCACAGAAATTGTCTATGGACAAACGCTGGCTTTATGGCTTGGAGACAGGGATGAGAACTGTGCCCTACAGTCGGACACGACTAGACTAAATGTCAAGGGGAACCTTTACCTTTAGCTAAAATGCTCTTCCTAGCGTCATTGAATCAGAAGCATTTACTTTCAATGCAAACCAAGAACTATATCTGGGGCGGGAGGGCTCTGCCTTTGTGTAACATACCACGGCTGATGTGAGCTGAGGCTGCAGCTATTCGCTGATCACACTGACCCCAACAGATCCCTCCACCCTCACTCCCAATGCTGCTCCACTGAGTGTCGGGGGACGATCTGGCATGGCATGGCATATGAGGGAGGACAAAAGGCTTTGGTCATCATCAGCAAATGGGCACGACAGATGTTCAGGATATCCAAGCCCAAGGGTTTTAAATCACTGTCCCTTGTTCCAAGTGCTTTGTGGCAGAGACAGAGGAGTCCAGAACTCGAGTGGTTATAATTAATCACTGTTCTGGCAAAAAAAATGTTTGCAATATCTGCTAAAAAGGGCCAGTGTCGCCTGGGCTTTTGTTCTTGCACCTTCTTTAGTTCGCTTCCCAATTTTCTGAGAAGAATTTTTTTTTCAAATTCTACCGCCCATTGTCTGTCCTATATAATAGTGGTTATATATACATATTCCTCTGGCACAAGTGGCTTGTCGCAGAATGGGGTTGGGGCGGGGGGAGAGAAAAAGAAGGCAAGCTGATCTTCCTTTCTTCTATCTAAAAATGTCTCTGAACAATGAATTTGCCTACATTTGCCCAGAACTGTGCAGCTATCTCTAAGCTCCAAAGGCAGCATTGCTACACATTGAGGATGGGCACTTCCTCCCTTCGCCCATCCTTGTTCTCACGAGTCATCCCCAAACAGGTACAGGAAGGAAAGGATCACAGGAGGGACAGATGCCCCTTTCCTTGTGCCTCCTCCATGATCAGGTCATCATTACTGCACTGAGTTGGTCATTATGATCTTGACTTGTTTTCCCTGACAGGAAACTGCTCAATCCCAAATAACAATGCCTTGAGATTTTTTTTTTTTGTTCGTTTGTTTTTAAGCTTGGCCATAGTTTGCTAAGTTGCTGTACTGCTTGACAAACAGGGACCTGCTTTTTTTCTCTGTGTGTGTTTTGTTTTACATAACCTGGACGGGGGCTCTGGAAATGGGACCTGTTCTGCTCCATAACCCTGTAGGACTGGTTCCAGCATATCCAGAACATAGGAGATATCACGTATGAGATTGGTGGCAATCCACCTTTGGAAAATGGCATGTAAGCAAAGAGTGTGTTGCAGGGGACTAGATGAAGCCTGGAAGGGAAGGTAACAGGCTTGAATGTGCACTCAGTCATAGAATATTGATGCCAATAGCAGGGTGTGATAGATACAGATTAAAAAAAAATTAGATATCAGATTCCTCCAATATTACTATCTTATTAGCCTTCTAATGCTCCCAAACTGACTGAAGCAAAAAAAACTGATCTGGAACAGCAATATCTGAGTAGGACAACCTAGTTACATTCATTACTCACACATGACTAAATGCAACTGATGTAATAGGAAGACACAAAACATTCTTAGGAACCATGTTCCAATTTAGCCTGAGAGGAAAATTGACATTTTGGAGGGAGAGCCCGAAATTACAGTTTCCAAGTGTGGAAACGTCCAACCGAATTTCCAACCAAATTCTATAGCCATGTGTGAATAGACAGGACTCATGCAATCAGCCCCCAAACATCCCCTGGAACAAAATATCAGATCCTGGGAAGAATATTGTGGAAAACAGCTTGGAATGTCAACATCTGAGTAAGACAACCAAATTCACCACGCATACATGAGTAGATAGGACTGATATAATAAGCCACTAAATGTCCCCTGGAATCCCATTCCACTGCTCATTTAGGGAGGAAAAAAACAAATTTCCAGAAAAAGTCCGCAGTGGCAATTTCTGACTAGGACAAGCCAACGAAATTCATCAGTCTTGTGTGATTAGAGATGACTGATGGAGCAAGCCACAGAAGATTCACTCGAGTGGCCCTTCTGGGGACAATGATCCACATTCCAGAAAATTGCCTGGAATGGCAGATATTGAACATGATATCCCAGCAACATTCCATTGCTATATGTAGGTGGAAGGGAATAATGCAACAGCTGCAGACCATACCCAGGAGCTACAGTATTGTACTTGTTCCATT